GGTGCCACTAGCCCCCCCCCCCCCCCCCCGGCATCAGTCCGTATTCTGAACAAAATATTACCCTTGATAGCTGGCTTTGGTACTGAGGACGTGCTCTTCCTGGGGGATTTCAACATGGTCCCATCCCCGGCTGTGGACTGGATGGGGGGTGGGGAGGTGACCAATTCGGAGCTGTCCCGGTGGGCAGAAGCAGGCTCCCTTGTGGATGCTTGGAGATGGTGGCACCCTGATTCTCGGGACTATAGCTGTCATTCTGCCTCACATAGGTCTTTCTCACGGATTGACGTATGCTATGTTACCCCCACTGTGCTCCCGAGGCTCAGGGACATCTCTATTCTGCCCAGGGGCATCTCTGACCATGCCCCATTGTGGGTGTGTGTGGCAGCCTCCTCCAGTCCCTTCGGACCGGCTGTGGCGCCTCTCTACATTCTGGATTTCGGATGAGAGAGTGGAGGATCACATCACTACGGCTATTGGGGACTACTGGAGTCATAATAAGGGGACAGCCTCCCCCGGGAAGGAGAGGGATTCCTCTAAAGCTTTCCTCCGAGGTCAGTACCAATATGTGATCAAGAAAACTAGGCGGGGGGGTCCATCTCCAGCTTAATGAGACCGAGGAGAGGGCAAAGGCCCTTGAACGCAGGTATACGGACACTAAAGACCCTGAGCTCTACTCAGATGCAGAGTGTATACAGGGACTTAATGCTACTACGCACGGAAGCGTCCCGGAGATGCTTGCTATACCAGACCCAGATACTATTTGCTGAAAGAGAGCGCAATGGTAGACTTTTGGCCTGGCTGGTGAGGGAGGGGCGGGGGGGAGCGTGCAGTGTCTCTAGGGTGACAGATCTGGATGGTTCTGTTTTGACGGACCCGGGTAGGATCACGGCCCGCTTCGCCTCTTTCTATCAGGAGTTATACCGGTCTAGGGTGACCTACTCGGACCTGGATCTCTCGACCTACCTTGACAAGATTGACTTCCCTAAACTGCCCTTGGCCTCACGCGTAGCACTGGACACACCCTTCACTGACAAGGAATTGACAATTTCAATCTCCTCCTTAAAAACCGATAAAACGACGGGTCCAGATGGATTCCCGGTGGAGTTTTATAAGACCCATGCTGAGGGAGTGGCCCCCCACTTACTACATACCTATGGGGAGGCTAGTGGGGCGGGCAATCTACCTCCCTCCATGATGGAGGCAATCATAGTGGTGGTACCCAAGCCTGGGAAGGACCCCGAGCAGTGTTCGTCTTATCGCCCAATATCCCTCTTAAACGTGGATCTCAAGATCCTTACCCGCATGCTAGCTAATAGGCTCAACGCTGTCATTACCCTGCTGATACATGGAGACCAGACTGGATTTATGCCTGGGAGGGGGATGGATGTCAACCTAAGGCGCCTCTTCACTAATGTGGATAGGCTCCGTGCATCACGGGGGCAAGAAGCAGTGGCTATCGAGAAGGCGTTCGACTCGGTCGAATGGCCCTACCTATTTGCAGTTCTCCATAGATTCGGGTTTGGTGATCGCTTTGTCGCTTGGATACGCCTCCTCTACTCCTCCCCCACTGCTAGAGTACGCTTTAACAATATGCTGTCGAGCCCCTTTGCCCTGGGCCGGGGCACGAGACAGGGCTGTCCCCTCTCGCCTGGACTATTTGCACTGGCGATGGAACCTATAGCTATCCTGCTTTGGGCCTCGGCCCGAGTGGTGGGGCTCCCAGTGGGGAGATTGGTGGAGAAGCTTTCACTCTATGCCGATGATGCGATACTTTACCTGGGTGATGTGGGGCCTTCCCTGACAGCGGCTTTAAGCATAATAGATACCTTCTGTTCCTTCTCGGGGCTCCGGGTGAACTGGGGGAAATCCTTACTGTTCCCGCTGGGCTCGTCCCCCCCTTAGGCTTGATCCGGGCTTGCCCCTCACGCAGGTTTCTGAATTTCGATACCTGGGTGTGGTGGTGAACCCGGATCGTGCACGATTCCTAGAAGATAATTTATATCCCATACTTAGACACCTGAAGGCAAAATGTATGGCATGGAAGACGCTCCCCCTGACACCGGTGGGTAGAATTAACTTATTGAAAATGGTGTTTCTCCCGAAGTTTCTTTACTGTTTCCGAAATACTCCGGTCCAGATTCCCATTTCCTTTTTTCACACACTGGAAGGAATTATCTCCAATTTTGTCTGGGCGGGGAAAACCCCACGGGTGTCTAGGGGAGTCCTCCGACTCCCTCTGTCTGAGGGGGGACTGGGACTGCCATGCTTCAAAACCTACTATTGGGCGTCGGTCCTGGTGACTGTCTGGTGGTGGTTTATAGGGGATCAGGATAACCCGGCGGTAACTCTGGAAGCTGCTCTGATGGGTTCGTGCGCAGGGCTGAGAAACTTGGTTTTCAGGGGTCCGAAAGCTGTTGGAACGGTCACGGGACCTATGCGTACTGTACTGGCGGTGTGGGACAGGATGAGAAGGGGAAGGATGCCGGCTGGCGCCATCTCCCCCGATATACCGCTGTGGGGTAACCTCTCTGTCCCGGACCCCCAGGTTTGGGCCCGACGCGGGAACACAGTGATTAAGCACATCATGCCGGAGGGCATGTTGTTGGGTTTTGACAGACTTCGGGCCAACTACTCCTTACCTCAGTCCATGGGTTTCAGGTATATGCAGCTGCAACATGCGTGTAGAGCCCAGTTCCCCGACCCAATGACTATTGTTTCGGAACGTATTGAGCAATTCCTAATGTTGGTCGGAGTTCGCAAACCCTTGTCCTCCCTTTACCTGCGGTTGACCTGTACTGAGGGGTCCCAGCTGACGACCCTTTATGAGAAATGCAGGGTGGACATCCCCAGTCTGACAGAGGATCTTTGGGAGGAATGCGTCCAGACCTATATACCTACAGTAATTTCCCCAGGGAACGGTTTATCCAGCTCAAGTTTCTACATAGAGCCTATTACACCCCTGCAAGACTGGCTAGAATCTACCCCACGGCGGACGCGACGTGTGCTCGTTGCGGGGTAGCGGAGGGTACTTTCTTTCATATGGTATGGTCCTGTAGCAAGCTTCGACCATACTGGAACTCGGTGGTCTTCACTGTCGAGGCGGTCTCTGGTCTGCAGCTGGAGGTGGACCCCTTGCTCTTCCTGCTGGGATGTGGGGAGACCCTTCAGGCCCCTAGGGCCACCAAGCTCCTCCTATTTTATGTAGCATTCTATGCTCGTAGAGACATAATCCTGAGATGGAAGCTAACTTCTCCCCCCACGGTAGGACAATGGCTATGCACTATTGATAGAATGCTCCCGCTCTACAGGCTGACATACATAGGACGCAATTGTGAGCGCAAGTTTGATCGTATCTGGGGAGACTGGGTGGCGGCCAGGGGACTTACCTTGGAGGGCCCGGGCGGAGAGACCTTACTCCCGCCTGAACCCCCTAAATAGTGGCTCAAATGTGCAAGGGAAGGTCTTCTTCCCCCCCTCCCCGCCTACCTTGCCCTCCCACCTGGTTCCCATACCCCATCCTGGTATTTCCCTCCTAGGCCCCGTTCCCCTCTTCCTTTCCCCTCCCTTTGGCTGCCTCCCCCAGGAGCCTTCACTTAGTAGTATGGCCAGATCACCTGAAGCGATCGGCCGTGCTGCAAACACAAGAGACCAATGATCCACACCGTATTTAGTTTGGTAGTGTGTTTAGTTTATATGTAGGTTTTATTTTTATTTTTTCATTATTGTATTGTCTTGTACTGAATGCTGTTATTCTGTATCGAGTTGATGGTATTTTTATTTCTCTGTATTGTATGTGCCTTGTTATATGTGTTAAAACCAATAAATACATACCTGTTAAAAAAAAATCTACTAAGGGATTTCCCATAATGTTTTGACAAAGTGTTTTTCTTTATAGAGATTAACTTTATTATTGTGCTTTTTTTTTTACTTCTTATATTTTTTTATAGTTTTCTGTGCTGCAGGTTCAAACTACATGTCTTACATGTGCTGGACACTTTAAAAAGGTCCGTCTACTGTACAGTATATCCTTGTATGATGATTTCATCTATGTATTTGACAAATTTTCATTTCTTTTGTGTCTCAAAAGTGGTACCATACAGTATGTGATCCTGAGCTACATGAAACATTTGGGAGTGAAAGTAAAGGAACCTAGAATGCTTGAACGGCGGGGCCGTATTGGGTTCTTACCAAAAATTAAGGTATAAATCAGTTTCTAGAAAATGTTCCCTGACTTGAGAAATGACTTAATGATTATAGTCTTTATAACTAAATTGTAATTATGTTTTACCTGTGTTTTGTGTAGAGAAACTGGCAAACCAAATGCTGAATCTCCCCCATTCTAAAATGAGCCGTTTAAACCTGTTGTGGCATCAGGCAGTTGCAAATCCTTACAATTACATTGCTGTAAATCCCCCTTTGCATAAAACAGTGTTTGAAAACTTGTATAGAATTAAGAATCTTTGTTGCCTGTACTGAAAAATACAGGTTCCCGAGAGCTCAAATTCAGCTAAAAAAGATTCCTAGTGTCATTTTTTGCCGTCAAGCTCAGTAACAAATAAAGGTATGCTTGGGTAGCTTGTGCTGCAGGAACTCATTGCTTTCCATAATATTTATACAGGGGTAGGTAACCTCAGCACTCCAGCTGTTGTTGAACTACAAATCCCATGAGGCAGTGCAAGACTCGGCCACAAGCATGACTCCCAAAGGCAAAGTTATGATGGGATTTGTGGATTCACGACTTTGTTTCATGGATATGACTTTTCTTTGTTTATCACTCCAACACAGCACAACCAGATCTGTCCTGACCTTCCTGTTTCCATGACCTTTGTAAGTTCAGGAGTGGGATTCTTCTTGGCCTTGACATTTATTTCTGTAAAAGAATGCCCAATTAAGAGGAAGGATTGTCTGATGCCGTTCTGTGCAGAAATCAAGGGGCAATGCTTGTTCACCGAGTGCATACTCACTATATGACCAGAAGTTTGTAGACACCTGACCATCACACTTATGAGATTGCTGGACATGCCATTCCAACATCATGGGCATTAGCATGAACCTCCCTTTGGTATATAACAACCTACATGCTTCTGGGAAAGTTTTCCACAAGGATTTGCGCCCATTCTGCCAAGAGTGTTTGTGAGGTCAGATACTGATGTATTGGCAAAAAGACTGTACGGCCCAAGCTGGGCACCTCCATAGCCAAGTGGCTGAATAATGTGTGTGCTGAGAAAACCCTGCAAGGGTAAATCATGGGACTGGTTTATAAACTTTCTGCTAAGCGCGCAGCTGGGTGAATGCTGTTCACATTGAAATAATATTTTCTATGCTCCTCAGCTCCATTTAGTGGCAGGAATGCCATGCGAATGGCAGAGCCGAAACAATTATACATCAGTCCCCTTGTGTGAAGGTACTTTTGTTGATTTACAGTGGGCCAGAAAATGTTCTTTTCTGAGTGTAATGAGTTGCTGGAACGCTTTCCATTTGGAGCTAAATTGAAATGCCAATACTGAAATATAAGCCATGCTGGGTGAGACCCTTTAAAAAAAAAAAGACTATTAAAGACATTCTTACAAACAAACATTTTAGACAGCAGCTTCAGAAGTTTAGTCCAGTTTAAATCAGTAAAAAATGCTCCATAGTTCAGATTTGGTTTTACCACTACACTGGAAGCAAGTAGACTGCTTCGGTTATGAATGTCCCTTGTGTGCTCATGTTCATCATGTAGCAGACTGGGTGAATACAGTGAGTGTTTCTTAGTGTGTTAATTACAGAATGATTGGTGTGTTTCTCTAGGAAATGGGCAACACAGAGCCTTTTGTTTCATTATTCCTCTTGCTACCTCGCTCTACAATTTTATTTCTGTTAACTTTCAGTGGTCAACTGTCATGTTCTGTACAACTTTTGCAAACAGTAATTGACGTCTGCAATAGGCTTGTACTGTATGAATTATCTACTCTCAAAGTGTGTTCCTAGAAATGTATGATTGACTGTTCTTGTTGTGTGAATGGTTAAAGTGACACTAACGCAGGAGGTAAATCCTAAAAATGCATTCAAGTATCTTAACTAATAGCACAAATGTACATTTACTGTGCATTCACTCGGCTGTAGATGCTCAAATGTTCTCTGAATTGGTGCTGACACTGTCCTTCCTTCTGGAGGGTGGCTACTTTTGTTCCCCATGGTCCCTGTGTGTGTGGTAAAGTAGCCACCACTCCAAGCTCGCTCGCATGATGGACTAGAATCTCACGTTTAGTTGGCTCATTTGTAGTGAGATTGTAGTCCATAACGGGAGCGAACTTGGAGCAGTGACTACTTTACAACACACACAGGGACCATGGGGAACAAAATTAGCACCCTCCAGAAGGAAGGACAGTGTCTGCACCAATTCAGAGATGATTGGATACTGAATGATACACAAATAAGATACATTTCTGTTAATAGTTAAGATATGTGAATGCATTTTTAAGTTTTAACGCCTGAGTTTAGTGTCACTTTAAGTAAAATTTTGGTTGACTTTGCTTAGACTAGTCTTAAATATGGTAGTAGACTTGTGGCTTATCATTTATAGAAATTTACTGTCACACGCATCTCAATGGCTGGATGTGGTTTTTGCAGCTGTGGCTGAACATTTGAATATAGCATACATTGCCTGCTCCTGGGAGGGACTGGTGCTGCATGTAGCCACCTGTGCATTTCTGTTATGGGAAGCAGCTACAAACCCATGCCCAAGAGCATACATCTGTACCTGTATGGATGTCCTAGTTCAGGTCGGAGTGAAGCCTTGTCCTGTCATAGAGATGTACCGGTGGCTGCATGGGGCACAGGTCTCTGCACGGATGTGCATGCTGTATGGCTATTCACATCTGTGTGAATGAAGCCTTATCCTTTGTCTCCTGCAGCTCGCTTGCAGTGACATCAGTTTACATGCGTGCTTTCCAACAACTGCCAGACATCATTTGTCAGAGTGCAGGTTCCCTGGTGGTGACAATAGTACAACATACAAGTGCAATGTCCCTCAGCATGGCTGATAGTACTCAATATTGGGAGAGTGTGTGTCGGTTGACCACACAGGAATACAAATGTAAGACTGGGTCAAATGGTTGTCACCCTATAACAGAAAGTGCTTGCACAAGGACCTTCCAGGCAAGTTGGCCGGGTATTATTTTAATGAAAGCTGCAAATTTAAAAATACTGGATATAACTTTTGCAATGACTTTAATGTAGAGGTGCACCGAAATGGAAATTTTAGAACCGAAACGAAACCAACATTAAAAAAAATGTCAGGCCGAAACCGATACCGAAAATGTTTTTTTATTTTTATTGTTTCAATTGTTTTAAATATTATTTTTTATACACTTTTTTTAATTTACAGCGCTGTCTCCGCCCCCACACCGCTCTGCCGGACTGTGATAGGCGGCTGAGCGGTGTGGGAGGAGAGACTCCGGCCGCTCACAGCGCTCTCGTCCTTCAGCGCCCTGCCGGCTGTCACTTTCTTTTCTCCCCGTGGAACAGTGGCCAGCGGGGAGAAAAGAAACCAGGAATGTGCCGATGTATCGGCCGAAACATGGCTCTTTCGGCATTATGCCAAAAGTGCCATTTTCGGCCGATATGTTTCGGCGGCCGATATATCGGTGCATCCCTACTTTACTGTGTTGGAGCTTTTTTGAGATTTTAATGATTGTGTTTACATCCACTTAAATAACTGGCATTGTTCTTGATATAGGTCACAGCTCAGCCACTGCAGTTATAGCTGTTGGTAATTCTATTCAAATTTGTCACTGTACTATTGCACATCAAGTAATATATAGCTAGCTTAACTGAATTTTCTATTACAAATGTTCAAGTTGATTTGATAAAGAACTCCAGACAAATCATGAAGCTTGGCAATTAATAACCTAAACTGTTTACCTGTTTAGGATTCACCGCTTGTCAGAAAGTCACGTTTCACAAAATGTTTAGCCTGTAGCAGGAAACGAAGCCTGTCTTAGAGAGTGTGTCTTTTTTATTTTTTTTTATTGCTGAGCAACAAAATATTACACTAAATGTAATTTGATCCATCATTAAATCCTTCCTCATGCCCTTCCCATGATTAGAGGAATTTGCCATCAGCTCCTGGGAAAGGAGTTTCATCATTCACTGCAGGTATTACTGCAGCTCAGAATCAGAACAAGAATACCAAGTATCTACTAACTGACATTTTCTAAGTTGACTCATAATTTTATCCTGAATTATTTTATTTTTTTCTGAAATACTGCACACATTATTAAGTTTGATTAATCGGATAAAAAATAAAATACATTTAAAAAAATATCTCCAGTGATGGGACTACTAGTTTGTATTGAGATTGTAGTCCATCACAGGAGCAAGCTTGGAGCGGTGGAAGTGAAAAAGTGGGGTGTGCAATATAGTGAAATGAAAAGTGTAAAATTATACAGCAATGAATGCAGAATGGCACCGGCTATAGAGGACTACAAAACCCAGCAATACATTATACAGCACAATGCAGAATACCACCAGCTATAGAGGAATACAACAAATCCCAGCAATAGTACATTATAGCTGGTGCTATTCTGCATTGAGCTATATAATGTACTATTGCTAGGTTTTGTAGTCCTCTATAGCTGGTGGTATTCCGCATTGCACCACTGTATAATGTATTATTGCTGGGATTTGTTGTACTCCTCTATAGCTGGTGGTATTCCGCATTGCGCTGTATAATGTATTATTGCTGAGATTTGTAGTCCTCTATACAGCGCAATGCAGAATACCACCAGGTATATAGGAATACTACAACATCCCAGCAATACATCATACACACAGTGTATAATGTATTGCTGGGATTTGTAGTCCTCTATAGCTGATAGTATAATATACAGCATAATGCACCATCAGCTATAGAGGAATACAAATCCCAGCAATACATTATAGAGCACCATGTGTGGGAAAGTGCAGGCTTACCTGAGCAGTCTTCCAGCAACTTGCTTCTGAGGTCAGGCCTGTCTATCGGCGGCTGTCATCCCCCCCACACCTGCTCCTCCTTACTTCTTTACCCCGCGTCCCTGTGCCGATCGTGGATGTGGGCGGGCGGTGAGTGTGAGGCAGGGAGGAGGTGTGGATGCGGGTGGGCGGGTCTGGCAGCGGCAAGCGTGAGGTGGGGAAGAGGTGCGGCGCGCAGCTTGTGTGGAGCCGTGAACAGGGCCAACTAATCGGAGGCCAATTAATCGATGATTGAAAAAGTTGACAACTTTTTCAATTGATTATGTTGATTAGTTGTTGCAGCCCTACTTACCATAAAGCCAAATATCAGTAATTTTGTGCTAGGTTAAAAATAAAGAACTGTAGGAAAAGTTTCTGTTAACAATCCGTCCTCATTGGTGTCCTTTCTGTTGTTGCTCACAAATTTGTGAATGAAAGCTGTAAAATCGGGCAGGGGCAACAAGCCATATAAGATGTGTATGTTGGCAACATAGCATTTGATTGGGAAAGATAATTCTGTATCCAATAGAGAACATAAGTAGAGCTGGACTTGAACTTCCTGGTCCCGTAGGTCAGCTATCTTGTGCTGCCCCACCTTTACCCAACTGACTAGCTATCCTTATTATCATTCTATGAAAATCAGACATCATGGCCACACATGCCACTCCAAGTCTCAGGACAGAGATGCTTCAGGACACCTAGATATAGTAACTAGACTAGGACAAAGTGTTATCCTCCTCTGTAAGCATTTGGTTCTAGATGTGTGGATCCAGATTGGGTGAACTGTGAGCACACTATTCCACCAAGTAAAATATACAAACTGTAGAGGGTCAATGACCACTCAAATTGCACTGACAGGCAGGGCAACACTCTAAAACCTTAGAATGTTTTTAATTTTAAGAAAGTTAAATCAAATGCCAGCATCTGCCCTCTAAGATGTATGCAGGGCCAGATTTACTCTCTCTGCTGCCCCAATGGCAGACCTGCAGGCTGCATACAAATTATCTAGGTGACCGCTGGAATCACTTGTATGAAACAAGGGGCGGCTTCCACCCTGTGCATTTTAGCTCTGGTTACCCAAAGCAAGGCTAAATCTAGAAAACAACTACCCATCCGGTGCCCGGAACTGCGTGTCCCGGGCATCGGGAGATAGGAATTCCACACCCATGCTGCCCCTCTACTCCCTGCTGCCCCAAGGCCGGGCCTTGGTTGGCCTTGTGGGAAATTCGGCCCTGGATGTATGCTTAGCTTGCTTTAAGCTGAACAGATAGCTGGCAGATTTTTAAATACATCATTAACAGGGTTATTCACAAAAGGGTGAAGAGCTTGGAAAAGGCAGGAGTAGTGAACAAGGCAGGAGTAGTGAACAATCTTGGACAAAATAGCTGTTTTGGAAAAATTCTCCTATTCAGCTCACTTTCCAGTTAAGCTATGTTGGCCTAGATTGTTCCCTTCTCCTGCCTTCTCCAAACTCTTCACTCTTTTATGAATAACCCTATAAATGGGGGGTGGGGGTTCCTATTTTCTATTACATAGGCAGTGCAAGTACTTGAATTTGATTTGGTATTAGCGTCTTGCATTCCCTGTACATGAGAGTCTGAGTGTGAGAAGAAGCAGCAGTACAAGGAGAATCGGTACATGTGCAGACACGAAGCATGCTGATAGAGAGCAGGATGAAATCGAAATTAGTACATCACTGTGCTGCTTCTCCTCTCAGTGTTCAGTAAAAGGCACAGGCAGGTCCAGGGAGTGAGTTGAATAATGCTAGCAATGAGATTGAGGACATCAAGCAGCAAACAAAAAAAATATTTGGGGGGAAATCCCTGGATTTAAGCTGAATATTAATTGCAGCAAAAATATTGCAGCACAAACTGGTTTTGTTATTTTATCTTATAATAGGCTATTCATTTTTTTCTGGCTGGAGTTCTGATTAAAAGCAGACATATTGTCATTTCTTTTTTTTTTACCCCCCAGAGGCCCAGTAAAATGTAAACATGTTGCTTTATATTAAAAGCTACTACTGTCATTTATAAAAGTGTAAAATGTACCTATTGCTGTGCAGAGCTTGGAATGTTTGACATTTTATGTACATTCAGTATGCAGCTCAATTGGCTTTTTTAGGTGAAGGTTTCTTAGGCTGGTGGAATTCATAACATGAATTTTTATTGCTCATATATTCTGCCCTCCTGAATGCTCTGCGTGTAGATTCATCTTATTAATGGCTGTCCCCTAAGATCAGTTATTACTTGGCTTCTGAAAGAAACTATGATTCGGGTAGGTTTATAATGATTGTTTTAGAACCGTTTGTAACTGAATCCTCTTGTTGTTATGCATCTGACATTTCTTTTGTGGTTGTTTTTGTCTTTTTAGCAGAGCATGAAGAAAGAAAAAGAAGGAGAGGAGAAGTGGAAACGTAGAGGATTTTCCAGCATTTTGGGACCTCCAAGGAGACCCAGCCGGCAAGATAGTAATGCAAGTATGTATGTTTTGGTTGTTAGATTAGGCCCTCAGCAGCGAGGAATATTATCTGTGCAAGAAATGTACATTCATATAAAGAGATTTGCAGAAATAATTGAAGTTTGGAGTCATTTCTCAGTCTGAATGGGAATAATACAAAATACATAGTCAGTTTACCCAATGTTCTCTTTTAGCAGATCCTGCAGAGATGAATGGAGCATTGTCTTCTAATGTCTTCTCTTTACCCCCCATATCTAGCCACCTGTTGTTACCTGTTGGGGAGATAGCCACATGGCAGGTGGCTAGATATGGGGGGTCAAGATAAGACATTGGATGACAATGGTCCATTCAACGCCCTTTTTTTTTTTTTCTGTTTACCCCCTTGACCTCATGAGGTGGTGAGTGAGACCTATATACAGAAGTAAAAACATTGTTATCTGTAGCCTGATTGTCACGTTCAAGAGATCTTGTCGGCAGGCCATACATGTCCACAAAGATCTTCACATCTTGCATTTAACATACTTTAGGGAAGGTATTTACCTGTAAAAACCTCTCGTGTGTAGACTTCTAAAAGCCTGATACTTCTGCTGGGCATCGCCATCTTGGATGTGATGTCAACAAGCCCCAGAAGACTCAGAACTGCCACTCAGGTGACACTCTATAGTGTTCCACTTTGCTCCTCCACAGGCACATATACAAAAGGTTATGTAGGATGGTAAAGGGAGGGTTGGAGGAGCTATGCCAGCACAGAGAGTAATTAGATAGTCGCAGAAGTGGAGTGGGCTATATTGTGGCAGGTGGGAGAGGAAATTGGGGCTGTACTAGAGAAGTGACTCTTCTGGGGTGGTCACATTTTTTAGCAAGGCATTGGAAGTGAATAAAAAAAATAATTGATGTAAAGGAAAACACTGCAGGTAAGCATTTATCATTTTACATTTGTGTGCTTTTACCTGCATTTTTAAAGTTGCTGATGGGGCTTCTGTCAGTTAATTTGTCTACTGTATACTATGGCATGATTAATGACTACTAGTGTATGAAAGGATGCACTGCCCAGCTATATTTATTTCAATGTTTGATATTTACTTCAGTCTCCAGGGCTATGCAAATGCAGAAACACCCCAAGCACTTATCAACATCCTCATCCAGCAGTCCTGAGCCTGCAGAGGGCAGATTGCGTACCAGTGGAGGCCCCATGGATACACCTGATGGCTCTTTCAATCTGTTTTCTCCACCACCTAGTACTGGTCCAGTTTACAACTCACCTGATGGTAGCCGGGAACAGGAAGGAGGTAAAAGAATATCTATATCCTATATTTCCCTTTTCTTTCATAGAACCTCTGTTGCTTACATGTTATGTACTACATCTTTTTTTAGTTCCAAAATTTCCTACAGAAGGGGTTTTATCTACGGATTCTTGTGATGGAAGTTCACGGACATCGGGTTCTCTCTTTGACTTCCCTTCTTCCCCACTGGACCTGTTGCAGGAAGAGAATAAAGACACAGATCGGTGAGAATAGATGCCGATTTGCAGTACTGTAGTTGACGCTCTTTCAGTTTGATCTACCTTTTTAAATGGTTTCCCTTTTTTAATAGTCCACATAAAACGTCTCTTTTCAGCTGCAATATCCTGATAAAAGTACAAGTCATCCCTTGACAAATTCTTATATAATGCAGTTGCCAAAAAATAACTGAGCAACAGAGACAAGCTAATAAATCATCTAGTCGCAAAACAAAACTTTTTTATTAGTTGCACTGTGGTTCTCATGGGATGACTTGCACTTGTTTCCAGAGAACGTAAATCAATAGAAAGTTTTAGCTTGGTGGAAAACCCATTCACATCGCCCTGCAACTCCTTGAGGTACACATCCATTTGACAGCATAGTAATTTTTTGCAGAAAATCCATTTTTGGCACTATAGCATCACAGAGTAATGTTATTTCAATAATCATTGGCTGCCCCTAGCTTTATATTTTCTTTTTATAGAGATAAGGGCATGCTTACATCATGATGATAATAGTTATGCAGCCCATGAGAAATTAATTTGAGAAATATCCTTTATGTAATATGCAGCAGCCACAATATTAAAAATGCATTGTTATATACACAACACAAACACATTTTTAAAAAACTTTTTAAAAACGCTAAAAATAAAATCACACATTTCTCCTTAAAAAAAAGTCATAGAGTAGGGAGGGGTTGGAACAACTATCATGTTTTGTTTTTTTTCTACTCCTTCTGTGTCACCTATGGGCTGATCTCCCCTCACTTCCTGTCCTGCTGAAGCCCTGTCATACACTGATGCTCTTGGGGGTTACTGGGGCAGAAAATGAGGAAGAATCTCCTCACCACTGATCCAGCCAACAGTAAAAAATTGACTAGGTTACCCTTCTACACTCTAGTAAAAAAAAAAGTGCATTATTGCTGTTTGTGTCTCTTCTGAAGTAAAAAATTGAGTAAAATCTCTCTAATAATAATACAATATACATTACAAAATAATGCACTTATCAGTTATTACTTGGCTTCACAAGAGTGATCATTATGACATTTAACAAAAGAACAACTATACATCTACAAATCAAGAATACAGTCACTCGGCATGGATCTTCTGTTCAGAGATCTGTAGCATAATACATTTTTGTAACATAATGCATCTCAATAAACCAAACAGCATGAAGAGAAACAGAAAAAAAATTAAACATAGGATAACCCAATCGCCCACTGTCAAAATGCCATCCTATAAGAATCAGGGGAGGAGGACTATTGGGAGCCACATCGACACTCATGGAAGTCTCATCGGTTTTTAGAGACCCAGGGACCCCACATTTTATCATATTGGGCTGGAAAACCTCTGTGTGCATAGACCAGTTTTTTTAAAGGTAGTGCAGCATGAAGGAGTCTTTTCCACTGAGATAAAGGAGGGCAGGTAGCAGGCATCCAGTGAAGGACAATCACTTTATGTGCCTGATAGCGCAATCCACGGAGGAGTGTGACAGGTGACAAGGGTAGCAAGCCTTGCAAAATATATACCGTACATCTCTGGGACAAGAGGGACAGGACAGCCAATGAGGTCATACACAACTTGGGAAATCTGTACCCAAAAGGTGTTAACCACTGGACAACTCCAGATCAAATGGAAATAAGAGTGTAACAGGTAGCATTTAGGACATGAGTAAGAGGAGGGCAAGATAAACCTGATGAATAATGCAAGTTTGGATTTGTCGTTCTCTAGCACACAGAAACACAGATATAGGAGTTGATAAACAATCTTCCAATCCAGCTCCCCCAGCTCCGGTTGGTCACACAACCACACTAAAATTTCTGTATGTTAGAGAGAGAGCCCGTGAGCCCATCAACCACCTATAAAGGTCACCCAGCAACCCTTGCAACACATGTTTACATATAGAACAGTGTAATAAATTGTAATGATTTGCTTGTAATTATTTTCTCATTACTAGGGTTAGTGAACTGGACACACCGAAAGCTTCTCGAAAGTAAGTACCTTTTTCTGTTTGTCAGATTCTGACCTAGTTACAAATACTGAAAGTCCACCTGCATTTACAGCAGTGGTGGGTGGGAGTTATAGTGATTAGTTGCTTGTAGTTGTGCCAACTATTTTCTGGAGATATCTGATAACATGTTTTCAATCAGCTATATTTTTTAGAATCCAGTTAAATGCGGAATATTGCGATTTTGGGAAACTTGAGCAATGTAGAGGTTCATTAGAGGCTTATACCAAGTTCTTACATTGTAAGCACCTGTTATTGAACTGAGACATTTTCCATCATGTATGAAAGCCTTTGTGCAGTTGGGTGTCTATTTCCTTTTTGTGAAGACAAGCACTTATTCCCCATCTCTAAACCACATTCATTTGTTACCATTGGTGAAAAGATCTCTGTGGATCCCAGTGCTCCATTCTCTTTAATACTTTCATGTACTTATCATAAATTGCTCTGTGTTATTCATTGTAATGTCCCAAAAGAAGCTTGCATGTTGATCACCTCCACCCCCTTGTAGGTTGGACAGTATGGGTCTCGGTGAGACACAAAGTGAAGATGAATTGTATGATCTAGACCAGGAAATGGATCCCCCCAACTGGCAGCAGCTTGTAAGCAGAGACATTCTACAAGGTCTGAAACCGCATGAGATTAAACAGCAAGAAGTCATAAACGGTAAGGGAAGAATTAAAGGCTACAAGGCATGTGGGAAGGAGGAGGGACATGGACATGCTGCATAGTGTTGGATGGCCAGGAAAAAAGAGCTCTCCCCTAGTATTGAGAGTGTAGCCTTTATAGGAAGATGATGTATTTTCTGAACCCAGTTAAATATCTACTGACTTGAACATATTGAAAATGTATATATTTTTCTGTAGTGGGAGTTTGTAAGTGCTTACTTTAGCTAGGCTAAAGTTTCTTGTCTATTGGGGGAACAAGGGAAGTCCTAAAACTTTTTGGTCTTTTGTTTAGCTCTGCCTTTGTAAAGACTAACCTATGTTTTTTTTTTGTTTTGTTCAATTTTCTTCATTAAACAAGACTCTTCTCTACATTGCTGCTGGAGGGTTCCCCTCTGATCGGCAGTTATTTGGTGCAGTCATCCTCAACTTGATTTTGGTATATATTGGCATCTGGACCCTGCTAGACTGGATGTTGGAGGGTTAGTCTGGAAGTAACCTTCCTTCAATGGGTTCTCTTGGGGTGCTTTCTAGACTTCGTTCTGGTTAACTTAGCTGTGGATTGCTTTCTGGATCCAGAGCCTGTGACATTATCTCTGTGCTTTTTTTCCAGAAAACCCATTTAATGGCTAAGCTTGTCGGGCCTAGCATCGGGAACTTCCTCATTTTCTTTGGTTGCCATTAATTCCCATTCTTGCTGGCCTTGCAGTGGAAGGGGTTGCCACTAGGGGATTAAATGCTGGCTTAATTCACTGGGTGCAGTGTCACGTGTACTGTCAGCCATCCTGAGAACCCTCTAGATGGGATTTTTACTTTGTCAGACCATGCCTGACTAGGAAAATCCCTTAAAGGGTATTTTATCTCTTCTGCCAAGCCTCTGCTTGTCGAACGCATGCAGCAAATGGCATTGAGTTTCAGCTGTGATGGGTTACTTAAAACCTTGTTTCTCCTGTGCATCTTTATGGGGCACCTATCTTTGGGGAGCTATCAGGTAAGAAGTATTTGATCCGCATGCCCTTCGAGGAGGAAGGCTTTTTTGGATCAGCCCCAAATGTTCTCATCAAGGATGTTTTTTGTGGTAAGAGCACTCCTCTTCCCCTGCAGAAGAAGCTTGTTTCCCTTTCTGACCGTCAAGAAGGAGCTCTTTCATTTCTGTACTCCTTTGACTTCATCGCCAAAGCCTCCTAAGCTTGGCTCCCCAACCTCCTGCAAATTATGGCTTCCAATTGTCAGACAAGCCATCCTCCGCATGAAGGTGTGCCCTAACTTTTCAGAATTTGGGGAGACTGTTGGTCTTTGTAGACGGTTTTGCTTTTCAGATGCTTGGGTGCAGAAAGTGATGATGTCTCAGGGCTACAACCTTGAGTTTCATTCCCTGTCACCGTCTCTCACTTTCTCCCTTTTAAACCTTTTTGTGTCTACTCACAGATTGGTTGATCCTTTAGACCAAGGTTCCATAGCTCTGTTCTTGTGTGCTCTAGGACCCGTGCACTACCAGTTCGGCCTCCCTTCACCATCTTTGGTTTTCACCAAGGTGCTCACTGCAGTGTTGGCCCTGTTGTACTCTTATAGTATCCTAATTAGGGTATACTTAGACAACCTCCTGTCGAGGGAACAGTCAGCAGGGGTTCTGTCGGATAACATATCCCTTACTGTCAAGACTGGTTTGGGTGGATCCAGAACCTTCAAAACGTATCACTTGGAGTCTATGGGTCTGATCCTGTATGTCAAGTCAGGGTGTTTATTTCTCAGGAGAAGCTTAGCACTCACCGGTCTCAGGTTTAAACTTTTCAATCCAGAAGCCATCCACCTCTGTGCTTTTTTGAGTTTTGGGTCTTATGTTAGCCTCTTTTAAGGCAGTTTCCATTGCCCCAATCCACTACAGACCTCTGCAATGCAATGCTCAGTCAATGTGGGACAAATCGGTCCTGCCTGTGGGCAAGGTGTTTCGGTTGACACCAAGCACAAGGCTATTCCAGGCTTAGTGGCTCAGAAATCTGGGTCTGAAGTTGGGGGGGGGAGAGTAATGTCTTAAAATCTAATTATTACAATGGTAAAATGGGGTTGTTTGCCCTTAAGTGCTGAGATGGCACTTGTCGTTAGCTGATGTAGACCTCTGGTTTCATGTAAAAGTTACATCAGTAAGTAAAATGTATCCATTTTATTATCCCTTCAGGTAGTCCATGTCTTCCTGGCCTTTGCCATTCATTAGTATTAATGCTTATAGAGTGCAAAGGTTTCATATTTTATGATACGTTGAGTGGTCTGGGACTAATTGCAGGGAGTTAAACAGAAAAGGAAGGTAACCAGGACACATTTCCTGCATAATGCTTCCCTTGAGCACATTATATGCAGCATCATGACTCAAAAGCAGCCAAAGTGATTCTACTGCAGCTGCGTTCGGAAATCAGAGAAGACGACGCCATTCTCTGGAGAGTGCAGAGTTTATGTAGGGGCATTCTTCTCAGGGTTTGTGGATTTCACAGCCCCTGCTTGTGGAGAGGAAAATCCATTTAGATGAATTACAGAGTAGAATGCCCATTTTTGCAGAAATACGAAAAACAAATGACTATTGCTAGTCTGAGTTTTGTAACTGTAAAATATATAGGAAACGAACACACACAGAAGGCACACTTGAAATAATGCCCATATCAATTTACTTGCACCTCCATAAAAAGCTCAGTTGTACTTTTATTTCAACAGCAATCTTCTGATAGAATATGTGCAATTAAAGTGTTTTATGTATGATATTTACCTCTAAAAGCTTCCTTTGTGTAGACATCCAGAAGCCCCGAGACTTCTGCTAGGTGCCGCCATCTTGGATGTGATGTCCGCAGCCCCAGCAGATTTAGAGCGGTCATTCAAGTCACACTTTATAGTATTCCCCTTCACTGCTCCCCTGGCAGCTACATAAAAGTTTATGTAGGAAGGTGGTGGGAGGAGAGAAGGAGATGGACCAGCACAAAGAGTAATAACCCAGTCCAAGAAGAGGAGAGGGCAATTACGTGCAAGGAGGGATGTGGCTGTGCTAGGGAATTGACTTTTCTAAAGCAGTTAAATTCACTAGCAAGTCCGAAAGCTCATTGCTAATGAATAAAAAAAAAAATGTTCATGCTTTTACCTTTGGTAACCGGGTCCCTTTTTAATCAAACTAGTCTGATGATGTACAAAAATGTGTTTTTTACCCATGATTTAATTGTTTTTTGTCGTTTGTTTTCTGTCAGACACTAGAAATTAATACTATTTTCTATCCTGGTGATGTCTAAGTTACCAGGACAGTAAGGGAGGGGAAATCTGCCCAGCGTGGCAAAGTCCAAAATAAAAACCGTTGTGGCTTTCTACTATTGCAGATACAAATGTTGTATTGTTTACTTCATTAAAGTCTAAAATGATTTTTTCCTTTGCCTGTCCAGGGCAAAATAAGAGTCACTCATCCCTTTCTCCCCAACAGCATATACTCACTTTTCCTTGCATCCACACTGCTCTGTCAGAAGGAAAGCCATGTGTGAGCTCCAAACTGACTTGTCAGAGCTTATGCTGGGCTATGAATTCCTTCTCCGCCCCATGTGATGGTGCTGGGCCTATCATGAGGCATCAAGGCTGCCACTAGGGAGAGTCGCATGCTCACCATATGCTCTAGTGTTTGGTATATCACTTCACTTCCAGAAGCTGACTGTGGCAGTGGGGACGGGAGCTAAGTAACCCTTTGTCCATGGAAGGCGAAGTAAAAGGGTAACAAATGTAAAGCAAATATGTTGCGCTCGGTCTATGTGAACCAACTGCACACTAAAGTGTTAATAAACGAATCTGTGTAAAAATTACAACAATCCGTGTGAAAAAATTGATTCAAGTGGATTATTTACATATGACTAGAAGGTTCAACACACAAACATAATAAGAATAATAAAAATCAACACTGGAACCTTCAGAATTAGTGCCAGTGATCAACCTCATTGGTTCAGCATGTATATTTTAAACACGTGAACCTCTGGCCAGCGGTGTAGTAAAACAACACAGAAAACTAAAATTTAAACCGTGATATTAATTCAAGCTGTGAACAAACTTTGAAAAGGAAGTAGGGGCTCTGTGGTGGCCCTCCAATACTCAAAAAAATAAAAAAAAATAAAATGAAAACGTGCAAATAAATCAAAACTCTAAAATAATAACAGCAAAGAAACTGACATTTGGGGGGGGGCGGCCCCTTCTTCGGGATGCAGAAGCGATCTGGCGACAGGTAAGTCGCCAGGATCGCTTCTGTTGTAAAGCCGACAGTCGGCTCTACAAGTTTAAACAGACTCCCGGCGGCAAAAGTTGCCGGGAGTCTGTTTAAACAGCCCCGATGCTGGCGACGTACACTGTACGTCGTCAGTCACGAAGGGGTTAAATTTTAGTTTTCTGTGTTTTACTACACCGCTGACCAGAGGTTCACGTGTTTAAAATATACATGCTGAACCAATGAGGTTGATCACTGGCACTAATTCTGAAGGTTCCAGTGTTGATTTTTATTATTCTTATTAGGTTTGTGTGTTGAACCTTCTAGTCATATGTAAATAATCCACTTGAATCAATTTTTTCACACAGATTGTTGTAATTTTTACACAGATTCGTTTATTAACACTTTAGTGTGCAGTTGGTTCACATAGACCGAGCGCAACATATTTGCTTTACATTTGTTCACCTATACACATTGTTGCGGCTGGTCCAATCAGGTAGTTAGGCACGCATTCCCAGCGCAGTGATTTCTGTGATATGAAGTAAAAGGGTAATTTTAAGTTGTTGTCTGGGTTCAGTTCAGGAATGTGATTATCAACTGTGTTTTCCTTCTTGAATAGTTTGATTTATGTTGAAAAATTGTTTATACATATACATTGGTTTACTGGCATACAGCTTAGTAGTTTTGATTTTATTATTGTCTTTATTATTTACAATCTCTCAAGCTTTGTTCTGAAATACCTATCCTGATGAAAATAAACAACACACTAAGTACCATTATATAGGTTGACGCATAGATCTAGGCTAAGCCCTTCGCGACCGGTGACTGAATAATTCCGTCATGTGGGAAAATGAGTGCTGGTCACTCTACGGACCAGCGCTAATTTTCCCGCGTGACGGAATAATTCCGTCACGCGGGAAAATTCTGTTTGTTCTGTTCCTGGGTCCCCTGGTGTCTGTGGCAGACCCTCAACAGCAAATCAGGGGGTCCCAGCACCCAGCTAATCGCAGGCTGTTACAGCCACTGATCCGGCTTGCAGCTCATCACACTGAGCAAGCGGGATTAGTGTGCTACAAAGTATCTCTGAGGAGAATACAGTGTCTCCCTTAGAATACTAAGTATCTGAAGCCCCTGTGAATAAAAACAATTAACCCTTTAGTACCCCACTAGTTTTAAAAATGGTTTAAAACTTTTTTTTTTTTAAGTTTGTATTTTGGGACTCAACTCCCAAAATAAACTGAAATCCCAGACATATGATATACCCTATGAATCTAGACAAAAATAAACATTTGTTATGAATTACTGTATTTTGCGTTCTATAAGATGCACCGGACCATAGGACGCAGGGAGATCCAGTGCGCCTTATGGAGCACTCGACAGGCCGTAGCTATCTGTGACAGAAGCTGCAGTTAGTGACCGCTGAGACAGGTGGCACTGTGATTACAGCGCCACGGTCTCAGTGATCACACAGAGCAGATGAAGAACGTCCGTTCTCGATCACCGTCGCCGCCGCTGGTTGGTTTTAATACAAATGATCTAATCGTATCACTTGTATTAAACGAGCAGTGGCTCCTACTGTACATTTAGCTCTGCTTTAGCAGGGCTAAATGTACAAAAAACTACTCGCCCAGCGCCCGAAACTGCATGTCTTGGGCGTCGAGATTTGCTCCATAAGACTTTGTTAGCTACACTAATTATGTGCATGTTAGTATTGCCAAAACTGTGAAAAAATATTTTTTTCCATTTGTTTGTAATTGTATTAATTAAAATAAGAATTTATATACGCATATGTCACTTCAAATTAAGCCCATTTTGTTCTTTATAAAACGGTGTAGAATATGTGTAGGTGTATAATGCATAAGGAAGATGGAAATTATGGTTAAACATAGCAAAAATGGCAACATTGCTCCGATCAACAGGAACTAAAACAATTTCTAAAGCTGTGTCACTAAGGGGTTAAACCATGCCTTGCTTACATCCAGTATATATTTTCACTAACACAGATAAATCCATTAAGCATGGTTTAGTTTCGAAATGTATTGTGGTTGGAGCTATAGATTTCTTATTAACTGTTTAGCATTATTGAATGTCTTTGGTCTAACTGAAAAGCAGGGCTTTGTTTTAAACACTCAGTTAGTAAAATAAATACAACTATATTATGTTAAATTCACTAAATGTAATCAACTGATGGTGTCCCGAGGGTTGGCCAGCTGTTGCTGATACCCTTAGAAATGCTGTGTCCTTGCTATCACTTCTTACAGCATCATACTAATTGGTTAAGTAATAGCTCCTGCAGTGGTGTGGTATGTGGCACTTTTTTTTCTTTTCCTGGTACAGACCATTTCAGCCTTGATAAGCTAAAGTAAAAAAGTGATACAAACTATAGCTATCCTTTAAACTTACAGCTCTGGGTCCTGGGTTAAATTCCCACCTAGGATACGATCTGCATAGAGTTTGTACGTTCTCTCTATGTGTCTGCATGATTGTCCTCCAGTGGTCTTTTACCGCTATCCAAAAACATTCTGGTGTGTAAACTGAATTTAAAATGTATGTATGAATGTAAAAAATGCCTCTGGTTTACATATGATTTTTGGAGGGACATTAGGTTGTAAGCTCCCATTGTGCACAGGGACTGATGTAACTGGATCAATGTCTGCTGTCTTGTGCTACATAATCTGTCCGTTATATCAATAGTGGAAATAAATAATAGAAGTGGATGTGTCTTTTCCAATAATTATAGAGTTAGTGAAACGGAAAAATGGTCTGCGTGTAGCCAATTCTAGAAAGCTGTAATAAAAAAAGAAGTAGCATTTGACATCTGTTATCCATGAGATGCTTTGGCGCCTTTTGTACAAACGTTCTTATTAATAAGTAATGATGAGTCTGGGCTTGATTCAAACCCAGTTTGCCCAATCCCAGTCAAAACTCTGACTGCCACCCCGCCAGAGAATGCCACCAGTTGGGCCGGGTGTGGGGAGTGGTGGTCCCAATTTTGAGCGGGCTTGGACGTGCTCAGGCAAACTGGGTTGACACCAAACTTGGGCTCATCGCTACTCATAAGTAGGCATGTAGATTATCTTTTTGCCAGAATTTGCTGCAGTCTGACGAGGCTTAGGTCTGCAGCATGCGCACCAGCAACAATATAAATCTGTTTCCACATATGTTAACTAGTTACATAGTTAGGTTGAAAAAATACACATGTCCTGGGTAGCAGTAATCCAATTTGCTTTTATAAAGCTGGGTTAAGTGGCCATTGTGTGGTCAGAACATGTTTGATGGTATTTCATAAGAATCTTTACAGGTACAAATAATGTTATTCCTTTTTACATAACAGAACTGTTCTGTACGGAGACAGCACATGTGCGGACTCTATACGTCCTTAACAAGGTCTTCCACCAGCGACTAAAACGTGAAAACGTATTAACACCCACTGAAACTAAAAGTGTGTTTTCCAATCTAGAGGAGATCCTACAACTTCATGGTGAGTTCTAAAGAAAAGTGCAGGATTCAATAAAGATCTGGTATTTGATGCTGAGATGCAGGAAAATGTGCAGTTCCAACTTCACCCAACACATATAAAGGATGTATTCTTTTTAGGGTTTTTAGATATACAGTGCATGCAAGACATCAA